CACCTGGGCCTCCTGGTTATCCTGGGCCTAGCAAGCCTGGGTCTAATGGACCAGGCGGTAATAAGGGTCCGGGCGAAAGCCCCGGTAAACAACCAGGTACTTCAGGACCGGGTGGAAATAAGGGACCCACGGGACCACCTGGCCCACCTGGGCCTCCTGGTTATCCTGAGCCTAGCAGCCCTGGGTCTAATGGACCAGGCGGTAGTAAGGGTCCGGGTGAAAGCCCCGGTAAGCAACCAGGAACTTCAGGACCGGGTGGAAATAAGGGACCAACTGGACCACCTGGTCCACCTAGGCCTCCTGGTTATCCTGGGCCTAGCAACCCTGGATCTAAAGGACCAGGCGGTAGTAAAGGTCCAGGTGGAAGCCCTGGTAAGCAACCAGGAACTTCAGGGCCCGGTGGTCATAAAGGACCAACAGGACCTCCTGGTGCTCCTGGCCCTAGCACGCCTGGATCTAAAGGACCGGGGGGTGGTAAGGTTCCAGGTGGAAGCCCTGGTAAACAACCCGGCACTTCAGGGCCCGGTGGTCATAAAGGGCCAACAGGACCTCCTGGTGCTCCTGGCCCTAGCACCCCTGGATCTAAAGGACCTGGCGGTAATAAGGGTCCAGGTGAAACCCCCGGTAAGCAACCAGGTACTTCAGGACCTGGTGGAAATAAGGGACCAACGGGACCTTCTGGTGCTCCTGGGCCAAGCACTCCTGGATCTAAAGGACCGGGTGGTGGTAAGGGTCCTGGTGGAAGCCCTGGTAAGCAACCAGGAACTTCAGGGCCCGGTGGTCATAAAGGACCAACAGGACCTCCTGGTGCTCCTGGCCCTAGCACGCCTGGATCTAAAGGACCGGGGGGTGGTAAGGTTCCAGGTGGAAGCCCTGGTAAACAACCCGGCACTTCAGGGCCCGGTGGTCATAAAGGACCAACAGGACCTCCTGGTGCTCCTGGCCCTAGAACCCCTGGATCTAAAGGACCTGGCGGTAATAAGGGTCCAGGTGAAACCCCCGGTAAGCAACCAGGTACTTCAGGTCCGGGTGGAAATAAGGGACCAACGGGACCACCTGGCCCACCTGGGCCTCCTGGTGCTCCAGGCCCTAGCACACCTGGATCTGAAGGACCAGGAGGTAACAAGGGTCCAGGTTCAAGCCCCGGTAATACACCAGGTACTTCAGGACCGGGTGGAAATAAGGGGCCGACGGGGCCACCTGGGCCACCTGGGCCACCCGGGCCTCCAGGTTATCCTGGGCCTAGCAACCCTGGATCCAAAGGACCAGGAGGCGGTAAGGGACCAGGTGGAAGCCCTGGTAAGCAACCGGGTACTTCAGGACCAGGTGCAAATAAGGGACCAACGGGACCTCCTGGGCTTCCTGGGCCTCCTGGTGTTCCTGAAAATCCCGAGGGTTGCGCTATAAAAATATACCGGCTGGGACGAATTTACCGAAAGACGAAATCCCGTTTCGTTTATCCTATATTCAGACGACTTGGCAGAAAGACTTCATATGGAAGAGGTATATTTTTTAATTCTATGGAATTAATTATATTAAATGTTTCATTTGTTTCATTTAAAACTTTTAAATGTCTGTGTAAAATTTCCCTTATTCCATAATATTATGTACCTCATATTTTGCTATCAAAATGTGTATGATGTCTCGTTAGATACAAATTTTATTATGTGTTTCAACTGGGTTTACGACTGCCGTGTCACTTGTATTGGCCGTCTTTGTCTTTTTCATCAGAATGTAAGGGTCGAAACGAGGGTCATAGTCGAAACCCGCAGGTCATTAATTCGATTAATAATATTTTATTTCTAACAAAACAAAGCAATTATAACAATAAGTATCGAAAATATACCTAATCATGTGCAAATTTTTCCTACAAAGCTACAACGTTTGATTAATGTCTTTTGTTATTTCAGATGATGACTACGAGGATACAGATAAAGAAAATGTCTTTAGAAATTATTTATCTGGAGAAAAATACTGCGTTTGTTATAATTAGTAAGTACAAATTATTATCAATGCAAACCGCTAAATAAAAATATAAAAAAAAATTAAAAACAGATTGTAAATCCATATCTGGGGCAGAATTTTTCTAATAGCTGATAAATTATCTCAAATCTATCTTAATATTTAGTTAAATTAATGACCATGATATTTAATCCATATTAAATATTGAATAAGTTTTAAATAATAAAGGAAGAGGGAGTGATAAGCTACCACAACCTTAATGACAGAAGTTATAAAATTAATTCACGCTCCTGTTTCTCGTTCTTACTTCCTATCTGTCAATAGTTAATTTATACATTACTAACTGTAGCCCGCGACTCTGACCGCGCGGGATTAAAAATAGATGTTGGACGATTATCAGACATACTCAATATACTCACAAAATTTCATGAGAATCGGTCAAGCCGTTTCGGAGGAGTATGGGAACGAAAATTGTGACACGAGAATTTTATATATAAGATTAAATAATATTCGTTTTGTTACAGGTACTTAAAAATAAGTGTAAAAATGTAATATTAATGTAAATAAATATAAGATTTTAGTTATTAAGTCAACTCTCTCAAACGAAACTGGCAATGATAATGGATTGTGATGACGTCATTATATTTTTTTGTATTTTTTTATTTACACTCATGATTATAATTAGTTAACAAAAGTTAACAATAAATAAACAAGCATGCTTTAACAGTTGTTTCTTTTTTGAAATCTCAAGCAATATCCCACTTCCCTTTTGTTGAATTAAACAAGCGTGGTTGTTTTAACTATTTATTGAATAGTTACTTAAAATAATTAATATTAGAAAAAATAGCGTGCTTTATGGTAGCAAAAACTTATTTCCAATGAATAATTGTTGCCAGCATAGGAAAAAAATTGTACTAATTTAAATGTCGCCAATACAAAAACAAATTAATGAAATAAAAACAATTCAATAATTTATGTGAATTAATTGAACACCTTTAATCTCAGTCTAATAATTATTTTTTGAAAGAAATATTTTAAACAGAGTACCTTTAAACAAAATTTAGAGAGAAGTAAAGAGTATATTATTTAACAAACAACTGACGTTAGGAACAAAAGTCTCCGGAAGTGTAAAGTGTAAATGGCATTAGCTGAACAAAGTAGAAGCAGATACATAGATCTTAAAGAAAGGTCAATATACCTGAAGAAATGTAAATTACGCATCGTGCAAATACATTAACAAACAAAAATTCCAAAGACAAGTCGATTATATTTATTTTATGCTGAAGGCACATTCGTAATTGCTGCGTTACTAAAATGCAATTATAATCGTTTTTAATTTAATTTTGAATAAGAGCAATACCAATCTTAGTAACCAACAATATTTAGGAGTATAATCAATTAAGTAAAAGGATGAAATAATAGCATTTCTTAAATATTTGGATGACAAACGCGTGAGCCTTCTGTAAACGTCCTCAACTACGTCCTACATATAAAGTGGTCTCATCCAAAAATTTATGAGAAAGTATTTGTAACGTCATTAAAAAAGTAACAATTTGTAAAAGACTTGCCGTTTCATTTAGCTTTCGCCGTTGTAAAAATCTGATACATATTTTTGTCGATGACACGATGAAAACTTTCCCGCAAATTTATCCCCTAGCCCTAAGGATACGAATACAAATAAACAAATTAACCTACAACCTCAATGTTTCGTTTAATGCTTCAAGTCACAAAAGAGTCAGTAACTTGCCACGTGTAATGTTGCAACTTGTTAGCGCATATACGCAATTAAACAAATGTGATCGACTGTGATAAAGTATAGCTCCTGTATACGCAAACGTTGAACGCGGCAAATGCCTATCTGACTCGAACCGTCTGCCCGCTGCTTCCGCAAGCCGTTCGATCCGTCTAGGGTTTTCAATGGACTTATACGAGAACATCAAAATAAATTGGTGTTCAAACACAAGGTGACACAAACTACAATTTTAACTATACTCAACTTTATTGAACAAATATTATGGATAAGGAAGTAAGTAAACGATGTCAAACAAAGACCATAACTAAATCCTTAAATTAATTCTGTATTTACAATTCGAAATTTAATTTTCAATGTAATAATACAATCACAGAAATAAGATAATTCGAAAATTATAAACAAAAGAAATATTATTTCATGTTACTGCTAGTATATTTTCCTTTTTTATATCGCATTAAAAAGAAACGACTAAAAAATAACATATCTAGAGTGTAGAGCGCACTACAATATCTTTACTTTGAGCAAAATCAAATGTTGTTAAAAAGTCAGAAATTTTTATAATAAAATGAAAAAAAAACAAATTTTAGGACCAAAAATTGTGGTTAAAAAATCTTTTTTAGGCAGACTTTGAAATTTATATTTTTACTATATTAAAAAGTGTTTTTTTTTTACTCCAAAATATATTTCTCATTACTTCCATTTAGTGTCACGATTCCGTTATAAAAACAGATAAGTAACATGTATCATTGTATTTTCATTTACGTATTAGTTATTGTGTTATTAATATAATTATTATTATATAAAAAAAATCGTAAAATGTATTCGAATCTTTTAATATTTACTATTTATGCTACGTTATTTCTAACTATTATTAAAGCATGTAAGTTTTGTTAGTATTAACTTTATTCTAGAACTAGTGAAGAAGTTTTGAGCTTTGTTATAGTTTTAAATATTATGCTATGCAAATTATCTTGCCATGCATTGTTAGAGAATACTGTCTAACGTAATATCAAATTATTTCGTACGCAAATTAAATTGTGTAATTATAAAATAACCCCAAAAATAAAGTTGGTAATTTTCATTTTCTTAATTGTTTTCAGATTCAGTTTCTGATGTGGGTAAGAACATAATTATTTAATTTCAAAATTCACATAAGAGGATAAAATAATAATTTAACTACCTCATTTTTAGAGTATAAAGGTAAGACTTTTTTGTTTAGTAATTTAATAATTGTATAATTTTTTGTTACGTACATTTTAATTTCATTAACCAGCAATTCAATTTAATTTTAGTACATCTTATTAATATTATATGGATTGACGTTTGTTTGAATGTATCTCCAGAACGATCGAATAAAATTTAACATACATAAAAAACATAGTATGGCGCGGACGTGGTCACGTGCGACCACTATTTTAAATAATATATTTATAATTCAACTTTTAAATTTCCAGTAGTTACACCGATCGGTGGGGGTTTGTATATTTAATATGTAGTCCTGTCTAACGGCCGAAACCTATAATCAATCTCTGACCATTTCTGCTTATCTATTTTTTTGTATTGTATTTTTTTAATGTTTGTGAATTATCTTCATAATTGAATCGTCTAATCTTTAACTAAGATATCCAAATGTGCAATTACGTATGTCTATGGGCAACGGTCACTTCGCTATTTCAGCGATTTCAGGTGGCCGCTCGCTCGTTTGCCACCTTATGATATAAAAAAAATGTTTTATTTATTTAAAGGGCCACCGACTTACGTCAGTAAGTACAATATTTATTTATTTTTACTAATAAAATTAAAAAAAAAATAAGTCACCAATACTAATTTAAATATTTACAGAAACGGTGAAAAAGGAATGTAGCGGCGTAAGTAAAATAACATCATAATAACATGATTATTCGGAGTAATTTGGTGTATTTTAGTTAAAGTTTTTTTTTTCTAGAACTTCAACTTTTTTAAGTATCAAGTAAGTTGTAATTTGCTTATTTGTTACGATAAACTTTACTGAAAGCTGCGAGAGGAGAGACTACAAAAAAGATAAAAAGAAATATGTTTAAAAAGTCCTATTAACTTAATAATTACCACCAGGTTTGCGAAGGGTAAGTTATTGTCGATTTATCAGTACTATCGACTTTGGATAAATATTAATTCAATTAGTAATTGCTTTCAATAAATTAGGTTTTGTAAAAACTGAAATCTTTTTTAAATTAATTTCAGGTGATAATTATTCTATTATTATTTTAAAGTTGATACAGTTTACAATATCTCAAGGCTCGAGCAGCTGGAATAAACTTTTATTATTTAGTTTAATTTTTGATTTGTTTGGAAATAATTGAAATTTGTAAGTATACAAAATAAACGAATTTGATTTGTGACATATTCAATGTTTTATTTTGCCTAACCCCACGTATTACCAAAGTCGTATTTCTCTTTCTGGTTAATATCAAGCTATCTCTATCGATACAAATTTTATTATTGTTTGATGTGTACTGTATTATTACTTAATAAACAAATGAATTACAGTATTAGAAAAACTTAGAAGAGGTAATTTGCAGATCAATATGTTACAGTTAGCGTATTTTGTGACATGTTAAAAATAATAAGATACATTGTACATAAGTAAAGTAAGTTAATTGTATGCACCCTGGTTGAAAAATTCTTTGTATTATATTATATTAAACTTGGTTTTAATATAACATATTGCTTTCAAGTTTAATTAAATAACATATCAAATAGTTGAATTTGTTATTTTACTTTAAAACATAGCGACTAAGAAACTACTTGGAATCGATTCATTTGAATAACTGATTCAAGTCCACTACCAAGTGTTGCAGTCATTAGACTAAGACTGGACATACATAGAGTATGGTACATGTACAGTCGAACCCGGATAAGAGAGAAACCGCTACAAACCAGAACAATATCGCGGTACTTTGGACTTTCACTATCCAGGTTCGACTATGTATCACGACTGCATGCAGACAGTGACAAACTATATTCACATTTATTTAATAAAAGAACGCATTACGATTTTATTATTCACGACATGAAAGTAATTATAATGAGACTTCCAGTATTTTAGCTTAATCCTCATGAAGTAAACGTCTTTTTTATGTACAAAATCATTTAATTAAATTATAAAATGATATTTTATTTTATACTCCTCACTAGTATGATTATACACGCCAATGCATTTGGTTTTCCATGTAAGTTCTTATAATAATAAACTTTAATTATTTAAGGTATTTTTTTTTAATTTTGCACTTACAATAGAGATAAACAACTCTATTCAGCAATTGCAAAGAATATCTTAAATAAGTAGTTATCTTTTCACTGTATTTAAAAAATGTTTTTCATATTTTACTGCCTTAATTGATATTGTTTTATTTTTTAGTTGATGATGATGACTCATTCTGTAAGTATATTTTTTTATTATTAAGACATAAGTCTACTAGCTTTGGCTAGTGCATAGACTGAATACAACCCAAAGTTCTAAACAATACGATGAATACAACTCGAAAATATAACATATATTTACAACTTTCAATACTAATTAATTTAATTATTCTTGTATCTTTTAGCTACAGAAGAAGGTAAATAATCAATGAGATTATGTTTTGTTCATTATTAATTCATATTTTGTTATTATAGATAATTGATTTGTTATTATTTCTTATTTTTAGTGTACGAGGGTGAGTTTTTATTATTTCTTTTTTAATATCTTAATTGTTAAAATGTATTTTACTGCATATTCTAAACTCTTTGGTACCAACATAGCAACTCTACTTAAAATTATGTTTTATATCTTTTAGATCCACCAGGAACAATTAGTAAGTAGTTATTATTATTTTAATTATTCATAAATTATAAACAAAACAATTAATACTTCCCGTTACTCATAGATATAATACGTAGAAGATGCATTCCGGTAAGTTTTATGTATTTCTTCATATTAGTTGCATTTTTAATAACAAACTTTGAACATTCCAAACCAATACGATTTAGAGTCCTTTAAGAAGCGAGCGTATCACGTTGTCAAAGGCCGGCATCTGCAGTTCCTCTAGTATTGCTGATGTCCATGGGTGTCGTTGATCACCTTGGTGTTCCCGTTGCTCGTTGGCCCTCTTCTCTTATATAAAAAAATGCATTTTGTTATGACTAGTCTGGTTTGGACCTATCATTTTACGCAAGATAATTAATTCTTTATATATATTCATTGAGAAACATATATTCAAGATCAAATACTAAATACTGGAAGTAAGAAGTTTCATCAGTTTAAAGCAAAAGAAATAAACTGATATATAAACACGGCTAAACACTCACGTATATACGTCCGGTGGCGGCACCGACTAGTTTCGAGCCCATCGGGGGCCCTTCATCAGGATGAGTGGCACTGGTATTATTCCGCGGACGCGGCCCGTCGCTCACGGAAACTAGTCGGTGCCGCCACCGGACGTATGTACGTGAGTGTTTAGCCGTGTTTATATATCAATTAAGTATAATGTCTCACGAAAGTTTGAATAATTCAAAAGAAATAAATCGTTACTTATATATTTCAGGGAATAAATATATTTTCTTATCAGGTAAGGTTGATAGTTTTTTAGTAGAATGTGATTAAGTCAAAGACTTTCTTAAAACCAGAATGGCTCATACTTTTTTAACCGTACTGGATTTTTTATCTTTAGCTAATGATGTGAAATATCTTCAAGTATTTTTGGTGACATTAATACAAATATTTAATTAAATAATTTCAATTTATTAAGTATTTAGTAATTTAAAATAGTTTTTAAAAATTAAAATTATTTCTTTATTTTTAGACGTGTGATTAAAGGTAAATTGCACAATTAAAGTTTGTATTATATTTTTGTATTTTTAATCTTCTAACAAAATGTATTCTTTTCAGGTTTACAAAACAAAATATAGAGTTTGCTGAATAAAGAAACTGGTCTCAACAACAAATGAACTTTTGTATATTAAAATGTTACAAAACATGTTATTTTGTAGTTTAATTTCAAAGCCTTTATTGTATATGTAAAGTTAGTTCTCTATATTGATAACTTTTAAAATACTTTTGCTAATACGAATTATGATTTCTCTAGCTAAGCTCTGTATCTGTATTAGAAACGATCGATTGTTGGTTTTCTAATTGAAAAAAAATTGTAAGCTCTATCTTCATGGAGTACGATACTAATAAAACCTCCTTAGTAATGCCTGTATCTTTCTCTCATCTTGTTACTTATATAATATCTAAGTGAGTTTATAATTTTACTACACTTACCAAGGGTTTTTGAGACTATAATCTCTTTATAAAAAATATAATCCCTGTCATTATCTTTGACAAGACAGATGATGTTTTAAATCAGATGTTTTAAACGGGAATTTAGGTCTCAGAAAACTACGATAACAGACAAGTGAATTGCACGAATGACTCTTCGTGACAGTTAAATAAAGAATATCAATGAGCATTCACGCAAATATTCGCCAGTTTCTGAATTGCGAAAAACCATAGATCTACTACAAACTATCGGATATAGTAACAAACAATAGACAATATTAATCAATGAACATACAAGTTACCAATATAGTAGAAACAAAGGTCACACAGCAAAACAAGGTTTATCTTATATCTTTAAATGAGCAATTCTTGTATGTATATATAATTGGAATCTCGGAATCGGCTGCAACGATTTTCATAAAATTTAGTATATAGGGGGTTTCGGGGGCGATAAATCGATCTAGCTAGGAATCATTTTTAGAAAATGTAATTTTATTCGTGTTTTATCGATAATCAACTTAAACATAAACTTAACTTTTCCTATCGGTAAGATCGAAAAATATTATTCATATTTCATCATTTTATTATTAATTCGTACTTAAATATAATTTACAAAAACACAATTTAAAAAATAAAAAAAAAATACCGAACAAAGCTCGCTCCGCTCATCCTGGTACTATTTATTAATTATACATAATTGATATTTAATATGGTCCTAAATAAGCCATAATAAAGCGTCCCAAAGTGTAAATTAAGCCTGACGATAAAACAAGATAAGTTCAATCATATTTAGAATCGAACACACTTAATAATATGTCGTTCAAATCGGTTATTCTATACTTCTTATTATGCTAAAACATTTCACATTGATGTGTGTTTTACCGGCAAGATTGTGTCAAAATTATAAAATGTGAAAAATACAAAATAATGAGTCGTAAATAATTTCATTGACATCGTGTGTCAAAGTTTAATCTTTTTATGTCATAATATTTATGTTTCTGAATAATATTTTTATGTTTATACGCCATAGTTAATGTATTTGATAACAAGTATTAGGTTGTCACGAATACATAACATGTGCGTCACTAATATCATAAAAAATGTTTATTAGGAAAAATTTCAATATTTTTAACCTTTTAAAAGTATATCAAGAAGTAGTAAGTTATACAAACATCAATATTAAATAACAAAAATGATGAAAATATCATCTTTTGCAGTAACTTTTACTATAATGATATATTTTGCTATGGACACTCTATCTGGTTAGTTACATTTCACTTTTAAACAACTCTTTGTAATTTGGATCAAAAAAGTTATAAAGTATAAAATATTACATTCTAAATATCCTGTTTCAATTTAGTTTAAATTAATTTATTTGTTTCAGCTCCTGCAAGTAAGTTAATCATTAGTTTTCTCCTTTACAATTCAGACATTATGACATTATTAGTCGGATTCGTGCGTAGGATCCGCACAACTATATCCTAGCACAAGCATAGAGCTTAGTTGAAATGGTACTTGAAATATTAGTAAATTAAGGAAAATCTGCTAATATTTTATAAAAAAAAAAAAGAATTCAACTAATTTATATTATTAATTTTTTATTACTTTAAATTTTAGTCTCGTATTACTATTTCGTAAAATTTGTTGGTAAAATGTTAAATAAAAACTGTTTTAATTTTTGTTATTCTTTTCCAGCAACTGTCCAATTTCCAAGTAAGTGGCGATAACATTAAAGAGTGCTGGCCGGTCAAACCGTTACGGTTACTGGCTGTAGCAACGAAAGGAACATTAATATTAACCTACATAGATATGTACATACATATAATTTTTTTTACAAAACTGCTCGCATTTATTTGTAATTTACTCAGCAAAATAAGCGACTTATGACTTTTAAATTATTTTTCAGCACCCAGCAATCATAGTGAGTTATTTTTTAAAAAATTAATATGTTCTTAAAAATATACAAGCATTACATACAATTAAAAAAAGAAAACAATTTTACCTACGACTCTATAAATCAAGTCAAATCAATCGGTTTTCCTATGACCTGTATATATACATATTTTTAATATTTTTTTCTTTGTTATACAACAGACGCTAGCGAATTTCCAAGTAAGCATTTTTTACATTTTAATTTTTTTTTCAATATTTTGTAACTTATTTTGCTAATGTAACAAATTATTTTAATTTTTTAGTTCCTTTCCTACCGACAGGTAAGAATTTACATTTTTATTGAAATATTTACGTAGGTTTAATTTTTTTTATTAGTTTGTTAAATTAATATTTAAAAATCATTACAGTAACTAAAGATCATTGCGGTCCGGTAAGTAATCAAAATAAATAAGTGTTTAATTTTATTTTACATTGAATATTATAATAATTAAATATTGAATTTTTCAGAGCATTAATATTTTAATTAACGTCGTAAGTATCACATTGAAGATAAAATATTTTTAACATATTTTCGATTTATTTTATCATATTTATTGGATCATTTTTCTTTGCAGAAATGCAAAAGCTAGATATAACAAAAGCTTTTATGCAAATGGGTAAGTACTTTTATAAGCTTCGATTAAGATCGTTGTTTAAGAACGATTAAAAATAGAATTATATCCTCAAAGAATCTTTTGTTAGAAAATACTTTGTGGTTAAATAATATACCGTACTGTACAATTATTGGTCATCGTTTTTTTTTTTCAGGTTGACAGCATGCCAGCTATATTAAAACTATAAAATTACTTATAAATAAAATAATAAATAATCTAATAATAAACACGATTATTTTATTTTCTGTAAAATTTAAGTTACAATTAAGATCGTGTCATCTTAGAGTTATGAATAAAAATACTTCATTTCTTAATAAATTGGTAATATATTATAATAAAATGATAATACAGATTTATATTGTTAATTTTAAAATAAAAATAAACTTTTACTCCAAATTTTATTTTTATCTTCTTATTTATTTTTAAAAAGAGAATACCAACCTAAAATGAAAAAAATATACTCGTCAATCAACTTTTGAAAGACAAATAAGGCCCTTCGTACACAAATCACAAAAACCAATGTCCGATCCTTCAGTGGCGAGTATCGCGTAGCGCGCGCGGTTCGTTAACACAATATGATTCCATATTGTGTGTACGAACCGCACGGTACGAACGGCGACGAAAGCAATCAGTACAAGTATCGTAACACGGTTGATACGAATTTACAAAATGTGACCTTGACAAACATAACGAGCGACTGGCGTACACAACACAACCTCAGCGACGCGTGCCTGTGTATGAACCTCTATGATAATCTACCTCTATGAACTAAAATTGCTGGGTATCGAAAATTTACGTAACTTGTGTACGAAGAGCCTAAGATTAAAAAAGTCTTCCCTCATATCTTTTTACGCAACAACCACGGAGGAGCGGCTCGTGAACCGGGTCACTAAATACATAATGACTACGTCTAGAAAGACTGCTAAGATCAAAGGGAATACTTTAAAAAAATAAGAAAGTATAGTAAAAGTCATAATTTCAGTGCGTAACTATAATAAAATAACTTGTACTAATATATAATATATCGTTATACAATATTCCTTAAATTTTTATACTACTACTGAATTGTGAAAAACAAGTACTAATATTTTTTGTAGACGCCAGTAGGTAAAAATGGATTTAAATATCGACATTAAATATGAGGAGAAACGATAAGTCTCAAATTTAATTTAATATTCACGAACTACTAATAAAGCTAATGATTAAGTCACGTTATTAAAGCAATCGTATTAATACTAGAAATAGAAAAATTTGTATGGATATTTGTTACCAGGGAAAATCCAAAATGGATCTGGATAAATTCGGAATTCTTTAATAGAAAAAAGGTTACTCTTTCTCCTGAAATTCTACGATCTACTATCTTAGTTGTTCTTCATATGCATAATAAAACGATAGGTTCGCAACGAAATATGAACTCTTTTGTTTTAATATCGTAGTCGAAGTCGCGGGCAACAGCTAGTGTACTATAAATTTATAAAGTTACACAACGAAAGTTATATAAGAGAGAACTGTTGCATTGAAATTTTGTTGGTAAATTTACAATCCAATATGCACACATCAAGTTTGTTTACATTGTCCAATATAATATTTTTTACAATACTTATGTTGTTGTTTTCATCTTTTGTAAGATGTGGTAAGCTTCTTTTAACTTATGTAAATAAATATTAATAAAATTGGAGTGTCTGTGTTTATATAAATTGACAATACCTAATTTACTTTTATTTTTTCAGCACCACTCGTAGGAGGTAAGAATATTAACAAAGACAATTTTACTAACATTTAAAAGAATAGTATAAGTTTCGGATACAATTTTATCCTATGTTATTATCTGCTCAACTAGGAAGCAGTAGCTAGTTATGCATAATCTTACTTCTTACTAATATAAATGCGAATGTTTGGATGTATGGATGGATGGGTAAATAGAAGGTATCTCCAGAACAAATAAAGTTTTCTTTTAATTCCGCGCGTTCGGTGTCGTAGCTAACATCTAGTAATTTATATTAAAAAATGAAATTTCTTTATTTTTCAGATGAAACACGTAAGGTTTTTTTTTCTATTCGTCTCTTTTATTCCTTATATATATATATATAAGAAAAGGACGGGAAGGAGAAGAGGACAAACATTAGGCCTCCGGCGAGCAAACTCATTACACGAAACGCGGAATTGCTTTAACTTTATGCCTGTGATGTGGTCAAGCTGGCTCATTCATACAAAAGATAATAATGCTGGTCTTACCACTGTTTGATATTTTTACATTATTTTAAACAATTTGCTAATAAATATTTTTCGTCTTCAACAGTAACAACCGAGAAGTGTGGCCTGGTAAGTTAAGATAAATATAAATTTTATCTGTTGATTTATTTATTTAGTTGGTTATTATATTTTCGTTACACTTAAATTAAAATGAACGCGTAGCTATAGTTACTAATTTATTTATTTTTTACTAATAGAACTTCAACTGGCTCTCGATGCAGGTAAGATGAAAGTCAAAAATAATACCATTCTCTTAAAAACCTTTTAAATTACAATTTTTCAACTGTTATCATTTATTTTTTTAATTTTTATAGGGCTGCGAAGGATAATAACAAAAAGGTACTATTACATTATATACTATATTTAATAATGATTATAATTAAAAGCCGTGATTTAATTAGAAATAATTAAAAAGTGAGTTTAAAATATTTTTTATTACTGTATTAGATAAAATATGAAACGATCTAATAATATCTGTTGCAGGAAATGTGCCATAGAAACCAAAGAACTTTTGCTTCAGATGTTAAATAAATAATTTCCTTATATTAATAACTTTTATTTCCTTCATTACGACCATAACCAACTTATAAATTTTATAGACTTAAAGGGTGCTGTACACGAACTGTTATAAGCGGTTGGAGTAGCGGCAACTGTATACTACGGTCCTTGTAATATGACGAACGTCAAATGCTGTTCGCTCAACACTGACCACTTGATAGTCTCGACATCGATTACTTGCAGCAATCCATGTAAAGCAGCCCTTAGTTAAAAGCATAAAATTAAATTTATATACTCTGAAATATATCAATTATGTGTTCATTTATAGAATTATATATAAAAAAGATAGGAAAAAAAAGTTACGTGGGAAATAAATTTAGAATCCGAGAAATTCATCATTCAATCTACTTTTCTCTAGGCTTATTTACAAAAGCGTTACAGTATACAGTTACTTCGTTACATACTGCACTCGTTTTTTGTATTTCAAGCGATGATCAGCTCTTTATCGTCCAAAGATGTATTTAAGATCACAGATCAACGGTAATGTCCAAACCTGTCTAATACGCAAGTTAACTTAAGTTCAATAAACAAAAGAACACCAAAAACTTAAATCATTTAAACTAAATTTCTCATCACTAAAAGGTGGAGTTTACTACATATTCTTAAAACAAAATGTTATTCCTCAAAATTACTATCCGAATCATTTTGGAAACCAGTTTGTTTTCAGTCAACTTTATAGAGTGTCGTATTTCAGCTGTTAAGGGCCTATAGACCATCTATAATATAATAACATTTAGAAAATACTAATCCATAACAAAATAGTTAAAGTTATTAAAATTATATGTATTCAAATAAAATTCACGAGCTATTAATAACCAAAGAGTCACGATTATTAATCGTAATGCAAACGTATTGAACCTAACTTACTTTTAACGCAGTATTTGGCACAACAAAATGTTCTCTTCAGAGCTAAGGGTTGTAACTAAAATGCTATTATTATCTGTACTTCTATTATATTTTACATCAAAAGTAATAAGTGGTAAGTTTTCAGACATTCATAGTATATTAAAAGTTTTGAGTAAAACTCATTAAAATCTTATAATTTCAGCTCCTGTATTTGGGGGTAAGTGGTTAAGATGATTTGTTAATACTAAGGATTGACATACACGATCTGCTTCAAGCAATGACTATCAATAGCTTTCTACAGGCAGCATTTTAGTGGCAGTTGCCAATTACAAATCGTGTATGGACTGTTATTTAATATTTAAAACTGTATTTATTTTCACTTATTTTTCAACTTTTTGATTTCAGATGTATCTGGTACATGTTTTTTTTTTAATATTTCATACATAAAATTAATAAGGAAAACATCGTGTTTAATAATAAGTTATTTTCTATAAATAATATTAAATAAATTGATCATTCCAGAAACCAAAGAGTCATGCGGTCTGGTAATAATTTTTTACTAATGAATATCGATTTTAATAATGATATTAAAAAAAATCGTTAATATAAACATTTCAAACTTGAGTATTTCTGTTACTTTAAATTCATTTATAAACCTTGTTTTATATTCGAAAAAGAATGTAAAACTTCTACAAAATAAAATTAGCAATTTACTTTTTTCGGTTTCAAAATTTTGAAATTATATCGTATGGTATTTCTTTCAGAACTTCAACTTTGCTTCTATACAGGTACAGATTTCTAAATATTTTGTACAAATTTCGTTAAAAATGTATTTTACGTCGTTATAAATTTTTCAATTATATTTATAATTTTTGTAGGAATGCAAAGGATAACCGTGTTATATGTAAGTTAAGTGTATATAATAAATTGTAAATTGATAAAAAAAAGGTAAATGGAAGAATATTTTAATGTTATTTAGTATTAAAACTTACATATCGTTTTTTTATACTTAAATGACAATATCCTTTTTAGCAATTTCTTAATCTACATCTTAATAAGATGAATTCTTTTTTACAGGTTGTTTTGTACACATTTGTACTTTTACAAGGGCGAAAATTAAATAAAGAATATTAATAAAAAATAATGTTTTATTATATGCTTTAAAATTATATTTTTAAAATATACTATTGCTGTACCTATATTGAATTGACACAATTCATAAATAATTTTCTTTCAACTGATGTTATAAGCGACAACTTTACTTCACGAACCTTCTAAATCTGGTACTAAACTTTAAAAATGTCGAAGGAGTTTTCAACAGTTACTTTTAAAACGACTAAACGCCTTTTGTCTAATTATTTGAAAAAAACTTAAGTTTTCTCTCGACATCCTTAGACTAATTCTAATCGACAAATTAGGGTTAAAATCCTGTAATGATGATTTCGAATGACTAAGGATAATGGGTTTGTTAAAGTTCATTTTACTATATTTTTCATAATCCTTCTGTCGTTGAAGTCTTATACTCTAGCTAATTTTAGGTCAATCAAGTATATACCTAGTTGAGCTATATTCGTTCAAGAAAGTATAAATTGTTTTATTTTGCATCTGGCTTTTTGTTTGATAGTGATAGAACACACTTGTTAAGCGATTGACCGGACCGGATTGGGTCCCCATCATGCATCAATGTTTTTCGATTATCGAATACCATTTTCAAGAAGCTTTGCGTCCTTTAGGTTGGAGGACAATATCAACGAACTAAAAATCTCAATAAGTAATAAAAAAAAATGTACATCACGATTACTAATAAAATTATATTACTAAGTAATCTTATACTGACATATTTTATATTAATTTTAATAAAACCATTTATTGACTCAAACGATTATTCAGTCGTACAAAATGCTTCAAAAAATTAGCACTATGCGATATATCTTCCTGATTATTGCATCTGTAATTTGTCTTCTGGAATTTGTCACTTGCGGTATGTGTTTTTAAAGTTGTAAGGGTAAGATAACTATTTGAATATAGCCGACAAAAAAATTTATTCTAAAATAATGACAATTATTTTTTGCAGCCCCGGTATTTGGTTGTAAGTGAAAAGCTATAGTCTTGTAATTTAGTACTAAAATCATTTTAATTTGAAATTAAACATGATACACTTAATGTAAGTACAAAATTAATAATATAATCATAATTCAGTTCCAGATATGGACGGTAAGTATATGAAATTAAACTTTTAGTGTTCTTCACCATAAATTGAATAGCAAATTTTCAACAAAGAGTTCAACAACATTTTACCTTTAAGGAAACCGAACGCTTTTAATTTGCATATTGATTACAAATAATAATCATTTATTTTCACTTAAAAGATTTAATTGAATTTAAATTAAATTTAATTTTAATAAAATTTCTAATTTAATTTTTATTTTAGTTACAGAAAAAGAATGCGGTCCGGTACGTCACATTTTAGTGCACCTAATATTATTGAGATATCTAATTAATAATAATAATAGTAAAAATAGTTTATTAAGGCAACAAAAGTATGATTAAATCACAAATTAGTAGTACGCCTAGTTCCTAAAGTAGGCTAAGACCCGTATTATAGGAGCCAGGACACTTTCGTCTTAGTGCTATAGTTTAAATAAAATTATAAACATTTCACCAAAAAACAATAAATCATCGCAAATTGTAACGATAACTATATAACAAAGTATTTTTCTACGTCTTTAGTTAATTTTTTATGTGTTTTTAAAACGTAATAAGCACAAATAAAAGATTTTTTTTTCATTTTCAGAACCTTAATTACTTCTCGATACAGGTAGGTTGATGTTATTTGTCTTTCCAAAACAATGGTTTTACAATTTTAGTAAGTTTTTATATTTCATCTTGCTGCAATCCTATTCCTTTGTAATGCAAGAAAATAAACATAAAATTATTTCTATCACAATACTATAATTTCTATTCAAATAAAAATTTCTTAAATAATTTCGCCTATTATTCTATTTCACGCCTCGAATATTTTATTTCATAATAGGTTTTTTTTTTCAGAAATGTGAGGGCTAAATCCCAGTAAGTTTGAAATAATAGCTAATGCATTTTCTTAATTATTAAATATTTTGTTTTTTTTTACTTTTACTATTATAAATATATTTTATGGAATTTTATTTTTAAATTAATCTTTAACTTTTTTTTTAGAAAATAACTGGCAATGTGGCTATTCCTACGATCCTGATAATTGAATAAATACTTCGTAAATATGTTGTTTTATTTATAAAAAATCATAATCCCACTGCAAGAAAAACCCTCTTAAAACATAGTCGTTACCCTCTTTCTCCTTATAGAAGTTAGTATTATATGACATGAACAGAACATGGTATTAAACATTGAATGATGTTTAAAAATATAAAAAAAAATAATAGTACAGATTTAATTTGATATTATAATCTTCGTCTTGACAACTTCCAAGGAACAATCAACACGAGATCTACTACGTATACTCAAATAAGTTTTTTACTTTAATTAAAGATGTCAATCACAGTCTTACATAGTTCTAAGGTGTGTTACACAGTACCAGATAGTGCAGCAGACTTGCTATGGAAATGCTATTCATTATTCTACACCTCATTTATGGTTTGAATTCCTAAACTTACCTACAGATTTCCATATGATAAAGCTATAAGAGATGCAGAAAGCTACTTTTACTACTGCGAAACTACTAGAATACCTAGTCTAGTCTAGTAATCTTACTAATATTATGAATGTCATTATTTGGATGGATGGATTTTTCAAGGTTTCTCCGGAAAGGCTCTACGGATCTTTATGAAATTTAGCACAGATATCGAACATAGTCAGGAAGAACACATAGGCTACTAATTAAGGTTATTTTTTAATTGCCCGCGGATGGGGTTACGGGCGACAGCTAGTCTACCATATTGATAATTTCATCATCTCTTAGTTGACATAGGCCTTTATCAAATAGTTGCAAAGAATGCAGTATGACTTTTCGTAACCAGTGACTTTCCACCACTTTTACTAGGTCTTACCAGGAAGAGAATCTATTATTAAATATTATTGTAACTTATACGAAAAAAACAAACAGTCGCATACTGCTTATTTTTTAGTATCGGTTAAGTACAGTGGCTAAGACCTTACTTTATAGGATCATTCCTCTAGTAAGTTCTTCACGAGAAGTACTATGGTTTAAACAGAAAATACCGTACTCTATAATAACACCATATCTATGACTTGTATCGTGCCCGATATTTGAAGAAAGCTCGTTTTTTTTATATAAACTGTTCCCCGTAGACATACGCAATTGCATATGCATTGCCTACCTTTTATCGACGGAGGAGAGGAAGCACAGAAAGAAAATATTTTCCCTTTCCATACATCCTCTCATCAGGAAAGTCCACTTCCACTTCCCATCCTTTCCTTATAAAAAAGAGGGTGGGAAGGGAAAGAGGATTATATAAGGCCTCCGAGACGCACACTTCAAACCTGTCTTCTGTGTGGTCGTGGTATTTTACCGGGGGAGCCGGGCCAATTCGTGCGAAGATGTTAAAGTGCGCTTTACCACTGTTCGTTGATTGAGATGTTAAGACTGACAAAATGGCTAGATTTATACAAATATAGTGTTGACTGAAAAATTTTCTACTTCAGTAAAATGACACATTTTTACTTATTTTATAAGTTCTATTTTGGATTTTTAGTAAAACTAGGTAATGAACCATCAAAGTAAAAGAAACAGATAAGAAACAAATTTATCACGCCGTTATAATGTTAGGTAAATAAAATTAAAAAGCTATTAAAAAATATTAAAGTATAGTAAAAGCATTAATCGTTATCAATCTTTATAAAAAGCAAAGTTACATAAAAAGATTCAAACGTTAGGAGAAGCACAACGCATTTGCACGTTGAAGAGACAGCATGTGCCCCTCAAGACAATGGAGGGGCAAAATGCTTTTATCAGTTTTACTAGCGATATGTTCAGCAACACTTATTAATAGCGGTTAGTATAAACTTATTATAACATTTAGATTTAATTAGTTAACTTCTTAAGAAATAATTTTATAATTTTTAAAGGGAATCCTTATTTATCTTTTCTTGCTTTACTTATCGATTACTATATCCCGCTTGTTAGCTTTTAGCTTTTTCAATCTCTCAGTGACGCCAGTATATTACTAATATTGTAAATGCGAAAGTTTGGATGAATGATTGTTATTACTTATCTCCAAAACGACTAAACGAAACTGGATGAAAATTAGCACACATATAGAACTTAGCCTGGTAAAAGGCATAAGCTTACTGAGAGATTTTTTTTATTTCGCCCGGTCGATTTTTTGGTCAATAGCTATTTTTAAATAATGAAATATCTATCAAATGTGTTATATAAATTTATTTCTATTGTCTAACAGCTCCAACAAAAGAAGTAGCACCAGGTAATTTATATTTTCTTAATTAGATAAAATATATATTTTAAAGTTTTTTGTTTTTAAATAGAGAATATTTTCCACATCGATTATAGTTAAAAGATAGTACAAACTCTACTAGTATTTTTTTATTCACTTTTAAATTATATTTTCTTAGTTTAATGTTATTAATTATCTACATATGTGATATTTATTTATTTTACAGTTGCATGTGGTAAGAATCTGAATCTAAATAATAGATTTGTTTATTAAAATTTACATAATCACATTTTCACTTCTAATTTGTTTATTTTTCTTTAGTTATACCACCACCAGGTTTGTTTATCTTTTGGTTAATGAATAAAATAAATCCATTTTATACTAACAAATAGCCAAGATGAAAATAACGTGTTTTTTTTCGGTTAAAGTTGCACCGCGGCCGCATCCACCTCCGCCACCTCCAGTTGTGGTAGTTCCACCTCCGCCACCTCCCCCGCCACCTCCTCCGCCACCTCCAGTTGTGGTAGTTCCACCTCCGCCACCACCTCCACCTCCACCTAAACATCCAGCGATACCCATTCCAATTCCGGTGTCAGAACCAAGCTGTAAGTAATGTATTTTAACATATAACATTTGATGTTTGTTATTTTTTTTCACTAGACCAATGTTATAAAAATTTATTTTTTTACCTATAATTTTAGCACTATCAAGTAAGCTTAATTTTCTTAAATTTAATTATTACGATGTAGTTAGAAAAAATATTTCCTATTATTTTGAATGTTACTTGTCTAAAATGTTCTCTTTTTTCTCTAGTCACTAAAGAAACATGTTTCGGGGTAAGTTAAAACATTTTTTAAATATTATAAAAATAAGATTTATTTGTGTGAAGTCAACCAACCCGCACTGGGCCAACGTGGTTGACTATAGCCTAGTCACCCCTAGCTTAGGATAGGCTCCGAGCCCCTCGGTGGGGACGTATAGTGAGCTGATGATGATGATGAAGATTTATCTTGTCACTTTATTTAAACAAACGCTTATTGATAAAATGCTTTTTTCATTACAGAACTTAAACATCTTTTCGCGTCAAGTAAGTTTCTAAATCTTTTCAACTACAATTTTTCCTCTTTATTTTTTTAATTTTTATTCTATTGTTATAAAACAAAATAATATTTCAGGGATGCCAAGGTCGTTAAACATGACCGTTAACAGAAAACATTGTAAGTAGAAGTGCATTTAATACTTATAACATACTAGCTGTTGCCCGGGACTCCCTTTGAGCAGGTTTAAAAAATAGTAGCCAATTCACAGACCTACTGAATATGCATATAAAATATCATAAAATCTTTTAAGCCGTTTCAAAGGAGTATGGTCACTAATATTGTGAGACGAGAATTTTACACATAATATCTTTGTTACAGGAATGAAGGAGAATGAATCGAAGATAATGAGATGAAATAAAACCAAATTAAAATTGTTTTTGTGCATTTTATTACACCCTCAATCATTTATCCTTACCCTGAACTCTTTTACCATCGTAAATACGTTAGTGTTTAAGAGTTATAAATGTTTGTTTTATATTACTTAAGAATAATAAAAAATAAAACCACCAAATAAAGAAATCTTACATTAAACTGTCTTACTTATTTCAAATGAATAAAAAAGTATTTTAAGTAACATAAGATACCGATAAGTGACAATTTACAAGACACGAGCCCATTGAAATAAATTGAAACGAAATAGCCACATTCTCTGCATTTTACCTAAGAAAATATTATAATTATTGTGTCCAGTAAATATGATACTTTAATGAATGGAGCAGCAACCGCAAATGTCACTTACGACCATTTATTTACATTTAAACAATTGAATATATTAACTCTGAAAATATTAAGGAAACTTGTGTAAGCGAAGGAGAGGTAAATAACAAGACGTTCAGCAAGATGCATATTCAACTAGGGTGGTGTTAATCAATCCACACAGTTAGCGTGGTTGACTATGACCTGATCACCTTTGGCTTAGGCTCCGAGACCCTCGGTGGTGACATATAATATATGAACTGATGATAAATGTGGTTTGGCCTGTGTGTGGTTGGGCCATAGACATACGCAATTGCATATGCGTTGCCTACCTTTAATCAACGAAGGACAGGGTGCACAGAAATATTTTCCCTTTCCATGCATTCTCTCATCTGAAAAGTCCACTTCCACTTCCCATCCTTTCCTTATAAGAAAAAGGGTGGGAAGGGAAAGGACTAGGCCTTCGGGACGCACACTCATCAGACGAAACGTGGAATTGCTTCCACTTCACGCCTGTCTTCTATGTGTTCGTGGTATTTCACCGGGCGAGCTGGGCCAATTCGTGCGAAGATGTTAAAGCGGGCTCTACCACTGTTAAAAATGTATTAGTCCATGAAATGTCTTTTTTAATTCGGCCTATACTGACACAAGTCTTCCCACCGATTGAAAAGGAAGGGCACTCTAGCAACGTTTATAGTTTTTACAATTAAAATTGACAAACCTGTACATTTTCTACATTGCTATTAGTAAGCTTCCGTATAAAACATCGAAAAATTATCTGGAGAGCCACGGCCACATCACTCACAACGCCCATTTAATGTTTGAACCCTTAGGCTACACTTTATATGATTAAGCATGGCCTTAATGATTGCTTGTAACTAAAACTGTTGTCAGGTACACCAAGTTAAAATATTATTCCAACTAAATTAGTGATTAGTCAGCATATCCTTAAAAAACTCTATTTCCTTTTTTAAAATAAACGGCGGCAAACTAATTACTAGCCAAGTAATATCTCTAAAATAGTGAAGTAACGATGACTAACGCGATGCGTTTTTGTTTATTGGAAGAAATCAAAATTAAGTACCGTTGAATAAAAACGAAATAGAAAACAAAAATTCAAATTTATTTTCAATTAAAAAGGTTTGTTGTGTCAAATTCCTAGTGTTAATGTAGTGGAATATTATACGCAAAAAGCTTCACCAATTTGGATAAAAATAATTTGTATAAACAATGCTATAATAATAATAATAATGTTATTAATCACGAATTAATAATAAAATTCATTATAGCTCATGAAATATAAAATCTATTAAAATGATGAATAAAATAATGCAAAGTTTGTTCGTATTAGAGTAATTGTTGGTAGCGCTCTGATCAAACACAATGTATTCTAAATTTTTCTTAGTAATTTTACTTTTAATATCATTATTATACTATGTTTTATGTTTCGGTAAGTTTAAATATTTGTAATGCAACTAAAAACTTTTCAGTTAGAATCAAATGAACAGATTTATTCAGAACCGATTTGAATGTAAAATCAACAGTTTAAAGTAAAAATTTTGAACGTTATTTGTATCTCACGCAATTGATTATTCTTTATTTTATCTCTAAAACAATTTTTCTTTACTTTACAGATGATTTGACAGGTAATTTTAATTATTGCAACCTTTAATAACAAATGTAGTCATGCACAGAAGCTTTACCGATGGCCTCGTGACGTCACGCCTTATCTGAGCAGCAAGCGCGATGATAGTAGGATGGAGAGAGGCAAAGATTATGCGTTTGTTTAAACATTTTAAGTTCCTAGCTATTATTCCTTGACTGCAAGAAATCTAAGTAAAAGTGCCATTTAAAGATGAAATATTTGGACCTATCGAACTGTTAAAATCTTGCCTAGAAATATTATTTATCTTAGGTAAATGGTTAACATTAATAGTAGATTTTTGATTATTTTAGAGACCAAAAAAACTTGTGCTGGGGTACGTATATCATGTGGATATCCTCACATTTTTACATTTAGTTAAATGTTAAAGTTTCTTTGTTTAAAATATACAACAGATGTAACTACTATTGTGACTAGTACTTTATGAAATGTAGATATAAATATGTGACAATTTTTTATTTCGACAGAATGTTAACATTCTTGCTGCTCAGGTTTGTATTAAATGATTTATTTTCTTAATTAATTAATCTATTTTATTTTATTTAGATACACCAACTATTGTATTACACTGAGACTGAATATGGATGACTACAAAGGTAGAGAAAGACCAAAGAATGTATGGATGGTTTGTGTGAAATACGCGTAAGAAGGGAGTGGATTCAGATATGAGGGTTGATAGAGATGTAAGGAGGAGTAGTACATACTGTGTCGAACCTCTGTAGGATTGAAGGAAAGTTGATGATGATGATGATTAAGATAAACCAACAGGCAAATTATAATACATAATAATTAATAACAAACGAACTGTCACTGTGCCGGTGTACTGGCACAACACTAGCCTTGCTAAAATATCGACGTTTATGTCACCTCACTAATCGTTCTGACACTTGATTTGGTAATGAAAGCGCGCCATTCGCGCCAAAGGATTCTAACTAATAATGTCAAAAAATATGTACATTTATCCGACGTTCATACGCATTATGTTTCAGATTTGCGAGGGATAGAACAGGCAAGTACATACGTTGGTATTTACTTACTCTTTAGTAACACAGCATTCTACAGCTAACCTAATATGTATGTCTGTATCGAAATTAGAATACAAAATAACATTTTAAATCAAACCCCAAATCTAAACATTCACATCGATAATATAAGATTTGTGATAAGAACGATAATATTAGTAAGATTTAAGCTTTATTTCTATGTTACAGACTTAACAAGGACTACGCAGAACATCAATGATATAAAATGTTTGTTTACATATAACAGAATAAATATTTGAAATCTATGTCTGTTTGTTTTACTTAATCTACATCATTTTTTAGATATGCCAAGTTATAAAAAAAATAATTTAATAAAATACAAAAGGAAGGAAATAAACAACAAATAAGGATCAGTCAAAAAGAGAATAACTCAAATTCGATTTAATCAATATCTAACATTTAAAAAAGAAATAAATAAAAATAAACCAAAACAATTTGGATTTTGGAGAAAATACACAGAGGTAACTTATTCAAGAGCATTTTTCGCTTATATTAAAATTATGCTTTTAAAACTAATCGACAAACTTATGAAATATGTTACGCATTGTTTTGACATAAATCGGGTGATACGTGAATTTCCAAACAATTAATAATTATCATTAAGGTCATGCACGATCAATCTAATTGATTATCATCTCAATATATTAAAGTGTGCATTGTTCGTAAGTTATCAATTAAGTAGAAATAAAATCTTTGAATCAGTAATTTAAATGGACACACGCATCTAATAGTTACATTAATTTTTAAACCTATTGTGAGGTTTGTTTGAAGCATTATGTTTATAGTATTTTAACCGTTTTTAATGTTTTAATACAATTTCAAAGAAATGTCGTTATGTATTGTTATAACAGATTTTTAGTATAATTGTAATTTTGATAGTAGTTGTAGTTAAAAATATTTTGACGGCGTGTTCCTCGGAGATCCTGGAACCTTCTTTTATTGCGCTTGAGGCTGACCTATCAGGCAGTTTAAATGAGTCAAATCCTACATAACTCTGTATTCCCCCCAGAAGACCGGGTGTATCTTTTAGAAGATTTCCCCGGTACGTAAAAGAAGTTAAATATTTTATATAATTTTTGAATAAATCTTGCTGCATTAATACGCATCTCTTAAAGATTTCAATGCTAACCTTTTCTTCTGTGCCTTTAAAATTAAAACTGACTTGACTACAGACTATACTGCTCAGAAGCAGAATTTGAATAAGGTTAAAGTTGCGTTTGAATGAGTTCATACAATCACTTACAAACATATTATAACATTTACAACATGTACGTATAATGTAAGAAAGCGTCGGTGGCTAAGGGGTCAAGCATTTGACTTGCAATCTGCAGATCCTGGATTCGAATCTCGCCATGTACTGTGTTTTTTTATATTTCCGATTTACATATGTACATTTATCTGACGTTCTTACGGCGGAGGAAAATATCGTGATGCAACCTGCACATGTCTAAGAATAAATTCAAAGATATGTGTGAAGTGAACCAACCCGCACTTGGCCAGCGTCGTTGACTATGGCCTAGTCACCCTTAAGTTAGGGTAGGCTCCGAGCCCCTCGGTGGGTACGTATAGTGAGCTGATGATGACGTATAATGTTAAGTGTAGTTTTTGTTTTAATAGTTTAATTTATCAATATTAATAAAACACGACAAATTGACTTGATAAATAACACGACAAAGTTATAAATTTAAAGTAAATTACATTATCACTTTCATTTACTTATCGTAAACAAATCATAGCTCACGAATTAATATTTCTATGACGTTCATAAACTTAAAGAAAACTCCATAAATGTAACTGATGAACATATCACATGAACAATTTATAACCAAAACTATGGATAACACTTTTAATTTTATTTTAATTTTACTATTCTCAACGTTATTGTTTATGTCATCAGGTAAGTTTTGCAATATTACTTGTAATGATTATTAAAATCAAATAGAACAATTATTGACTTTATATTAATATTTTTAATCGTGGGTTTCTAAGACCAAAATGTCCGTTTAAAAAATATTGGTATCTTTGTTTTGTCATGAGAGGTATGACGATGTGTTTTATACAAAGATTGTGATCTCCGAAACCAGCGGTAAATGAATAACGAATTAAAAATCGTATTTGGATCGAGATATTATTAGTATTAAACGTATAAAATTTTCATTTATATATTATAATAAACTAAAAAACTATTTACGCACTTAAGGAACTTAAAGTGTCACTAGCCTAATGGTTAAGGGTACGGATTTCCGATCACGAGGTCGGGGGTTCGAATCTTGACATTCGACTATTGTCGTAAACCATATCCTAGCACAAGCCTATAGCTTAGTTGGAATGGTAAAAGAAATATTAGTAAATTTACAAAAAAAAAATCTGCTAATATTTTAAAATAAAAAAAACTTAAAGTGGCGCTAGAGTTGTGATATGATTTAATTATAATTAACCAATAACAAATTTAAAGTGCGTAATAATAATAAAAACTTGGATGTATTTTAGAAGCGGCAGGTCCAGCAGACGCAGTCAACGATGCAGCTGGTGCAGCAGTGAAAGGGGTCACTGGAATATGTTTTCCTGTAAGTATTTGTCGATCATGTCGAGTCAAATGTAAGGTATCGGACAAGAAGAACTTGGATAGAAATTTGGATAATATAGTATAAATGTATATAAGTATGTATTTATAAAGAATTATTTGTTACACTTTTTTTGTTCTGTTCTGTTCTATTCTATTCTATCGTATTCTATTTACTTTTAATAAAGCTGAAGCGTTTTGAATAATAATTGTTCTTTGTTCCAGCCTATTATCTGTAATATAGCAAAGGGTGTTATAGGAGGTAAGACGAAATAAAGAAACCGTTTCCTGTGATGAATGTCTACGAATTTCATTTAAAACAAACATATTTATGTACTGTTTATTATCAATTTCAAAACCTTAAACAAAAATCGATGTGAGGAACTTATTATATATTTCCTTAAATATCTTTAAAATATCTGTTACTTGTACAATGTAGCATTTTTTTAAATATTTTAATACTAAGGAGCCAAATGATTTGGCAAAATCAGTTTAGTTTTAGACTACAGAAAGTCATAGTAGAATTAACTTACAAACAAAGTAACATATCCCCAAAAACAATTCGCTCTCCGCTTCGGACAATTAGAAAAGTAATGAG